ATTATCTAAAAATCTATTTTTATATCTAATTATAAAATTTTAAATTTCAAAAATGGTTAAAATCAAGTAGATCTATAAACATATGAAATTCTTAAAAATGGACGTTATAGATAATATGTCGTAAAATGCACTATTTCTGAGACTTAAAATCTTTTTATTTTTCATGGTCATACATCTCGATGTCGAGATGATCAATCAAAGGGATTTTCAACATTAAAACTACCTTTACCGATGGATTTTTGAGGTGCATCTTTAGTTCTACATTACAAGGTTGCATCCTTATATAAACTTTTTCCATAATTTTATATATAAACCATTGCATCCAGGTTATCAAACACCCAATTCTATGCAACACCTGGTCCATTGGTTATCCAGCACGGATGAACAGTCATTGTATTATATATTTCAAAAGGCTCTCAAATTACAAGAAGGAATAAGTCATTTAGAAGCAGAAAAGTTATCCTCTAAATAATGTGGAGTAGCATATCAACTGCCAAACTGTGAATACGGTGACAGAATTCAAATGATCAACCCAATTTCCAAAGCACCTAATGGTTCCAAGAATACCAAAATGTATCAATAGAACAATACATAAATCTGCAGATCAAACCCCCGAAAAACCACCAACCAATGAATAGTGGGGGAGAATGCATAAAATACAGCAACTAGTGAAAGCACACAGTGGGGATTATCATGAAAAAGCTGAAAGGAATATATAAGTGCATATACATTGAAACCACAAATTTTGTGAACTTAAAACAAATCCAAAACAATACCACATTCATCCTAGCAAGGAACTGTGTCCCTCAGAAAGCGCTTCACATAAATAGTGTCAGTAACAACACTAGAAAATATGAGCTACCTATCCATGTGGCATTACAACTGTAAGAAACATCTGCAACACCCTTTAAGGCTTCTTGCTCTTTAGCGGTCCTCGAGGGATCTTGCTCAACACTTTGGCATCAAAAACAGCATACTGCTTCTTGATTTCAATCATTGCCTTCTCTGAGAAAGAGTCAACTTGGTCCTCGTATTTCTCGTACAGAACAGGGACCGTGTGTAGGACCACGAAAGCTGATTATGAGGCAGTAAGTGAGAATCCAACCCACAAAATATGAAGCACAAAAAATAGAACAAGAACCATAAAGAAAAGGGACAGTGTGAAGGACCACGAAAGCTGATTATGAGGCAGTAAGTTAGAATCCAACCCACAACATATGGAGCACAAAAATAGAACAAGAACCATAAGTAAAACGAAGAAAAACTAACTTATGTAGAAAAGTGTAAGGAAATTGCAGCAACTCCCCAAAATTGAAAGAACCCACAAGCCAGCTACCACCTGCAATTGAATAAAATTATAAATTATTCATTGGAGTGGTAAATGATTGGAATCATAAATATATTAATATAGCAAGAGAAATTCATCGAAGTACCCACATGAGATGAACAATTTAACATTTTACCAACATCTGTTTATTTAATTCCAAAATACCCATTAAAACACATGTTCTTGTGTTGAAATAGTTGCAAATGGGTAGAATGCTGAATAGTTTCTCTTATGGGTATTTTGATAATTTTCCCAAATTGTAATGGGGCTTCAAAACCTACAGTGAGAAACATCTTCAAATCACGGCCTGATGCAATATCACGCAGAACAGAGAAAGCTCGGTTAATTTCATATCGCAGAGAAAGTGCAATGTTGGTGGCAACATCCTCTGGAATTTTAACCTCAGGAATGTGAGGTGGCGACCTGGCCATAAAGAGAAATAGTGAAAACAGATAGCACTAGAACAAACACAATCAAGAAGTGAAAGATACTATAAATAACAAAAGGTTGTTAGCAGTAGTACTAGTAGGAGGATGAGGAGGAGGAGCAGTAGTAGCACTAGCACTACTACAAAAAAATTCAAAACAAGTAGATGAAGAAGAAGGAATAGCCTTTAGCCTTACTTGTTGATAAAAGCAGTTCCATTGGACCAGAGGAATAAGAGAGCAAGGGTGAGTATGAGGCAATGGCAAAGAAGTGTGACGAAGTGATACTCAAGACATTCAAAGAGAATCCAGATCAAGGTTGCCCCTCCAAGCACACTTGCTGAAATCTTCTTGTTTCTCCACAAAAACACATCAGCAGCTGTATTTACAAGTTACAAAAACAGCATAAAAATGCTTTCCACTAATCAAGAAAATGAATATAAAGATTCTTAAAGTTCTACACAATGAAAAATAAATGCATATTATTTTGCAAATTATTTAATAAGCAAAATAGAAAAATCAACATTAACATAATAGATTTCCAATATTAACAGTATATCGTTCAAGAAGTTATTCAGATGGTTAGCAAATTATAACTTACAACAGATTTCTAAAGGAAATCTGACAAATTGAAGACATAGTTCAAATGATCCCAGAAATAAATTACAAATTAAACATCTATCTAAGAGATTTCTAATATGAAGGGTCATCATCATCATCATAGCCTTTTCCCAATTAATTGGGATCGGCTATTTCCACTATGAAGAGTATATAATATAAAAAAAAGTAGGAAAATTAAACAAAGAAACCATTTACTTTTAGTACAAGGAGGTCATAGTCAATCTCGTACATCAGATTTCAAATCAGGTGGTTGTAAGAGTGACCATTTACTTTTGGTATAAGGAGGTCACAATCAATCTTGTACATCAGATTTCAGATCAGGTGGTTGTAAGCGTGTCATTGCCTAGAATTAAAGTTCAAAATTTTTTTTCTCAAACTTTGTGATATAACCCAAGCCATCCGATTATAAAGAAGGTAGGAAAATTATACAAAGAGACCATATACTTTTGGTATAAGGAGGTCACAAGACTCACAGTCACTCTTGTACATCAAATTTCAGTTCAGGTGGCGGCTGTAAGAGCATCATTGACTAGAATTAAAGTTCAAAAAAATTTCTCAAACTTTGTACCATACCCAAGCCATCCAATTACAAATTAGCGACTAGAAGTAATTGTGACCTCTTTGGAACAAAGATAAATGGTCTCATGGTATACAATCCCTAAAAAAAATTACTGAGAAGCAAGACATTTAGCAAATGATCAATTATAACCACTCTCTCAAAAAAAATTACCAAAAGTAAAAAAAAAAAAAATCACAAGTAAAATAAAGGTCGATAATCGAAAAAATTAAAAAAATTGAAGAAGATGTCGCACATAAAATTAGAGCTAGGTGGGTAAAGTGGAGATGTGCAACTAGAATTTTATGTGATCGCTACATACCAATGAGGCTGCAGGGCAAGTTTTATAGGACAACTGTGAGACCAGCTTTGCTCTATTAGAGTGGAATGTTGGGTAGACAAAAAACAATATACCCATAAAAAAGTATAG